AAAGCTCTGGACTGTGAGTCCAGGAGGCTGGCTTCTGTTCCCACTCACCCTGATGGCCTGAGGTCTTGGGTTGCTTGCCACCTGCCTTTGAGACTCAGTTTCCCCTTCTGAAACCTGAAGTTCTCATCTCTGAAATTCCTGTAATTCAGTGTAATCCTGGAGACCCTGAGAAAGGTGCTCAAGGAGGAACGAAGATGGAGGGAGATGAGGCCCAGATGGGCTGGTTTGCTAAAGGCCTTGCTCCTCGCCTGTGCGAACATCCGTTTCTTGACCCCTTGGCCACAACCAAGCCTTTGCTTGTGGATCCCCGCCTCCTGGGGTGCCCGGCCCTTGCTGTGTCATGGCTCCAGGCTGGATGCCTGCTACACTGCGGGCCAGCTCCTGGACACCCAGGCTCAGCTGTAGATGAAGGATCCGGACCAGGATGTGTACCCACCTGCCCTTGGACACAGGCTGAGCTGGCTCCCCTCATTAACCCCTCATCTGTTTCATGGAAACAGTCCCACACCTGTGTTCTCGCTGTCTCTCTCTGCCTTGCTTTCTCTGATCATTTTCTCCTTTCTCTCTCTCTCTCTCAAGCTTGGGGTGGGGGTAGGGGGAGCAAGGAAGTTGGCAGAGAGATAAGATTCATCAATATTTAATTTTTATGGAAATCATGTCCTAGAAATCCCCAAGGGTCTGAAAATTGTTCTGTTTTCAGAATCCAGTGATGTCGCCAAGGCGCTTATGTTGTAAATAAAACCACATTACTGTCTACAGCTCTCCCTTTGCTCTGCAAACACCCAGCAACTTGACAGTTTAATCCAGTCAAGGAAGCAAAAAGGTTCAGGTCACTGGTGGGGGCAGCCCATCCCCAGCCCTGGGATAGAGGACGGTGTGGCGGCAGCAGCAGCCACGCTGGTACAGCCGGCAAGGGAGAAGGCCAGCCTGCCCCGAGTAGAGGGGCTGTGCAGGTGGAATTTCCATCTCTGAACAGGAACCCCAGGACAGCAGAGCCCCTGGGGGTCCTGAGGTTGGGGAGGGACTGCTTCAATGTGGAGGGCTTTCTCCTCCCTCGTGGCTAGGGTGCACACGACCAACAGAAGGCTCGTGCCCAAGTCTGTTGCCAACAACTTTGTGGGGGGTTGGGATCTGGAAAGGACATTCATTCATTCATTCGTTCATTTATTCATCCATCAAACATTCATTAAGCATCCGTCATGTTCTAGACAATAAACCAGGTAAATAAGTCAAATAGACAGTACGTTGATGAGTGGCAAGTGCTGTGGAGAAAAATGAAACAGAAACCTTAGGTATTTACCCATGAGGAGTGAAGATATGTATCCACTGAAAGTCTTGTGCAAGAATGTTTGTAGTGGCTTCGTTCACTTTGTTCATAACAGAGAAAAACCGGAAACAGCCTAGGTGTCCATCGAGTGAATGCATCCACGAATTGGTACATCCACTCGTGGAATACTACTCAGCAATAAAAAAGAACCATCAACTGACACATAAAATGACATGGGTGGATTTAGCAATAATTTTCCTGAATGAAAGGAACCAGACACACAAAAATGTGCGCAGGGTGATTCTATTTATAGGACATTCTAGAACAGACCAAACCAATCTGTGGTGATAGAAATCAGAGCAGCAGTGCTTGGGGGAGGGGTGGCTGAGGGGGCCAAGGAATCTCTGGAGTGGGGGGGATTGCCCTGTGCCTTGATGTTCGGTCACCAGAGCGACTGAGGGTCAGCCTTCCATGGCAGCAATGACTCCTCAGTGAAACAAAGTCAAGAAGCCCAGCAAGGGAATAGGGTGTACCCATGAAGGTGGGAGGGGTGTTGCAGCTTCACATGGGGTAGCCAGAGAAGGCCTCACGGAGGAGGTGACTTGAAGAACGTGAGAGAGAAAGCCAGGAGGGTATCTGGGGGAAGAACATTCCAGACAGAGGGCACAGCAAGTGCAAAGGCCCTGAGGTGGGGGTGCGGCCATCACAGCATACCCCAGACTGCTGGGGGGCTTAAACAACGGAAGTTTATTTTCTTGCCATTCTGGAGGCCACAAGGCCGAAATCAAGGTGTCGGCAGTGTTGGTTTCTTTGAGGCCTGTCTCTTTGGCTGGCACGTGGTCGTCCTTTCCCGGTGTCTTCACACAGTCACCCTCAGTCCCTGTGTGTCTGTGTCCTCATCTCTTCATATGACAACACTAGTCACTTCGACTTGGGGCTGACCCTGATGGCCCCATTCTAACTTCACTGCCTCTTTGAAGCGCCGTCTCCAAATACTGTCACCTTCTGAGGTCTGGGGGTTAGGACTTCAGCATAGGAATTGCAGGGGTCACCGTGCAGCCCCGTCAGCCAGTGGGGACAGAAGCATGGGGACACAGACGGGCGCTGTTCCGACTGAGGGTCAGGACACAGATTCTGCTTTCTGCTGCCGAATGGCGGGGGCACAGGCGGGGGACATCTAGCCGGAGACACTGATGGCACGTGCCAGCCTTTTGTCCACCCCCTTCCAAGTCCGGTTGCCTCGGCTCTGCGCTGTGACAGTGGCCCGGGCCAGGGCTGGATCCTCCCTATGGCCCTGACTGGGCCGGCAGCTGTGGAGGAAGATGTGGCTGGTGCCAGGGTTGGGGCCCACAGTGGCCACAGAGTCCTCAGAGTCATTCTGTCCTTTATGCGTGTGATCAGAGCAAAGGGCTGCAGTGCTGACTGGGGGGGCTTCAGACCTCGGCTGCACCCTGAGCTTTGGGGCCTGTGACGGGGAGCCTCAGGGAGGAATTTTAGGAGTCGAACTCTCAGGTCCTCTGCGTGTCAGCCATGTGCTCTGGGGCCAGCCTCTAGTACAGTTAAAGGTCTTAAGAGGTAGGAATAGGGGCCACCTACTATGTGCTGGGCACTGGCCTGGGCCCTTGCCATGCATTTCCTCCCAGCACTCTGTGGGGTGGACATTATTGCCCCCATGGTGCAGATGAGAAAATCAAGGCTCAGAGAGGGCAGTGGCTTGCCCACGGTCACACAGGTATTGAACCATGGCACTGGGATTTGAGTTCAGATCTGTTGGATTATAAACCTGGTGCTTCTTCTCCCTCACAGTGCTTCCTCCCTGGTCTCTCCATGGACCCCCAGAGCAGCTGCTTACCCCCATCCTCCATCCCTGGAGAAATCCGAGTCTCAGACCTCCTCCAGGACAGGTGTGGGGAGAGAGGTCCTGGTCTCACATGAGGAAGCTAGTGAGAGGGCTCCGCCTCCTCCAGGCAGACCGCCTGGTGGAACATGTCCATTTTACAGATGGAGGCACCAAGGTTCCAAAAGGGGAGTGGCTTGCTTGCAGTTCCATGAGTTGTTTAAGAATTTTTCCAGTGCAAAAGGGAACTCTGAGCACTAGAAGCAGATAGCGTGTGTGTGTGTGTGTGTGTGTGTGTGTGTGTAACATGCGTGGTGTGAGAGGGGCGTGGGCCTGGTCCCTGGCGACATTCCTAGCAGAGGCGAAGCTGCCCCGAAGCCTTGAAGAAGGACGAGGAGGCGGGAGAGGTTTCCTGGGGGCTGTGAGGCATCTGGGAGAGAAGCTGGCCATGCTTAAGTAGGGGGGCAGCATCTCCTCCCACTCCCTCCTATGGCCCCTCCCCGCCCCCAGGCTCTGCCTCGCCCTCCCTCGACTGGGACGCCATCTATTGACTTTTCTGAGAGCTGAGATCCCTGGCTGTGCCAAGCCCGACTCGGGAAGCCCTATTGATTTTCTCTTATTTATTTATTTATTTATGAGATTTTGCTGTGGGCAAAAAATAAAAGGTCTGAGCAGCGTTCCCCTTAGCAGCGAGAAGTTTTCTCCACCCACGGGCTCACTCCCACGCACAGGCTCGTAGACTCCGCTCCCATCTCTCCACGCTCCCGGGGGGCTCACATCTCCTGTCAGCAAGATGCAGGGACAGGCAGAGATGAAATGGGGTTAAGTGTTCGCCCTAGTTCCTGGTATATAGTAGATGCTCGAAAGATAGGTGTGGGGGAGGGGCGGGGGAGGTTTTGAGCAGCCGTGGCTGACGCCCATGGGCGTAAGGGGCTGAGGGTGTTCCGTTCTCCATGAGAGCACCTGCCGCGTGCCAGGCCCAGCCCTGGGCTGTCTGGACCCTTCTCATCTGGTCTCATAACAAACGTGCAAGGTGGATTTTGTTACCTTTGTTCAATGGTGAAATTCAGCGACGTTCAGCACCTTGCCCAAAGTTACCCAGCCTGTGACCCCGAATTCATATCCAGGCCTTCCGGACTTCAGCGCCCCAGTCTCTCCACTGTGCGGTGCAGCCTCCCCAGAGGGGAACAGGAGACTACCAGGGGCGGGCTTGGTCCCCGGAGCATGGCGCCTGCCCTCCCCTCAACCTGGCAGGGCCCCTGTTCTCAGGAGGCCCCCATCGGGCTGAGCGCCTTGGAGGGATTAAGAGCTGCTCCTGCCCACCCCTCCCGTCTTGGAAAGATGGCTGTGTGGGATCTGTCACGGGCCCTGTGGCCTGCCCTGCGGGAGGACTTCAGGCACAAGAATCGGGTTGGGTCCCTTTCCCGGGAGGGCCAGAGAGAATTCCAGACCCGAGGAGGGGCTCGCAGTCTGTGGTTAAAGATGTGACCCGTTGAGTCCGAGCTGCCCTGTGTGGGCTCCTTCTGACCCACGCACACGTTCACTCTCGCGGGTGCCGGTTCCCTCCCCGGCACTGCTGACGACCTCCTAGACGTCTGGAAGTCCAGTTCCAGCCCCTGCTCCTTGCCCTCTGCACCTGGCTCACCCCTCTGCCACGGCTCCGCTCATGCTGGGCTGGCTGTTGACTTGTCACCAGCCAGCTGTGAGCTGCTGGAGGGCAGAAGTCACGTCTCCTTGAGCTTTGTCTCCCCTGGGTTTGGGCACAGAGCCCGGCGCTGGAAGGATGGGCAGACATCCCTGTTGATCCCATGCAGCCGGCAGTCCATGCCACATGTCCGTCCCGGCACCTGAGCTGCGTTCACCCAAGATGCTTCTGTGTCTCTCCTTCCCTGGCAGGAGTTCCCCTTGGCCGTCCTCAGGGGCTGGCAGTGCTACTGTGCTTACCCCACGCCCCAGTTCAGCCTGCGGGATGCCGTGGACGGCTCGCTGTGTGGCCAGGAGCCCGAGGCACAGAGTCTGGCAGAGTACTGTGAGGTCTACCAGACACCTGTGCAAGGTGAGTTCTGGCCCCGAGGTGGGCAAGGCATGCAGGGCCCTCCTCCCTGTGTCCGCCACTGGTTCTGGCATTTGGTCTGGGGGTTTGGAGATACCAGCCATGGCTGGGTGTGCAGCCCTGGGGTGGGGAGGGCCTCTGTGTGAAAACCCTGGCATCTTGGTGGCTGGCCCCATCTTGGGATAATGGGAAGGAAGAGGCCTCCACCATCCCTGGGGGCTGGACACAGGATGCAGGACTAAGCGTGAAGAGCACCTGACCTTTATCTGAGTCTCTCTGGGGATGAAGGTGGTTTCAGAAAGAGACGAAGAGCAAAGAGGCAGAGACCAGAGGGATAGCCATGGCCAGGTTGTGGGTCAGGTGGCACAGGAGCCCAGTGACCACAGGGGCCTCCCCAAGCTGGCCCAGGACATGGGGACTAGTACGGCTCCTGGGCTGTGCCCAGGCCCCAGCATCTCCCTTGTCTGTGTCAAGTCTACCCGAGTTGACCTTAGTTGCTGATGAGAGGAAGAGCTCGTGGGGAGGGATGTGGGCACCTTTATCAAGACCCTCCTGTGACCCAGCACGGCCCTGGGGGCTTTGGGGCTTTCACGAGATGATTTCATGTACTCCTTGCAGCAGCCCTGGGGGGAGGGAAGATGAGGCCCAGAGAAGTTACTGGCCAGGAATTAGCCCGGCCCTGGTTCGTTGTTGGCTGTACCTGGTATGTGGCATTGGTCAGCGCAGCCCCGCCCCATCCCTCCTTCCTGCAGAGACTGGAGTTATCCATACCATGCTGGGAGCCCGGGTTCAGCTGTGGCCATGGAGACAAAGGGGTGCTGATTGGCACCCCTCCCCTGCAGTGGGAGATGGGAGGCCTCGTGGTCACTGGGGCTTTCTCTGGCCAGCCACACACCTGTACAGCGAAGGTCCAGGTGGCAAATCCCCTCCCCTCGTTGGGCCTCAGTGTGCCCATCTATTAAGTGGGAGTCTTGGACCCGCAGTTCTTGTGGAGGGGAGTCTGGCGGTGCGTCTGGGAGTCACAGTGGGGCTGAGTGACCCTGAGGCGACTTCTGGACTTTCAGACACCCGGTGCACAGACAGAAGGTTCCTGCCCACCAAGTCCAAAGTGTTCGTGGCTCTGTCGAGCTTCCCGGGAGCCGGGAACACGTGGGCGCGGCACCTCATCGAGCACGCCACCGGCTTCTACACAGGCAGCTACTACTTTGACGGGACTCTCTACAACAAAGGTGAGTGAGGGCCGCGGGGAGGAAGGCGGCTCCCGGAGGCCGGACTGTCGCCAGGCTCCCTGGAGCACCGGAGTGCTGCTTCTCAGACTCGAGTGTGCATAAGAACCTCCCAGGGGGCTTGTTAAATTCAGCACGGATTCCTGGGCCCCCCCAAGTATCCAATTCAGTTGATCTAAGATGGGGCCTGGGAATTAGCATCTCTAACAAGCTCCCAGCTGATGCTGAGGCAGCCAGCCCCGGGGCTCCACTTTGGGCGATAAGTCACAAAGGAGTGCCTGTTCCAGATTCAAAGGGAGAGCCTGCTAGCTGGAATTCCCTCCCTATAAACATCCCTTGAATTTTCCTTCATTTCCCAAACGCTTACTGATTAGATGAGACCAACTTCATCTGCTCATCTTTATTTATTTATTTATTTTTTTGGAGGCAAGGAGTAGCTTATAAAAATGCTATTTTTAAAAATAGGTGCAAAAATCTTCCAGAGTTTTATGATTTCTAATCTTCCCCTTGTAGAAATAACAGGCCTCATTATGCCAAGTCAGTGAACTTAAATGGCTCCAGTCTGCGTGCTGTTTAAGAACGAAGAACCTCAGACAAGTTAAGGGGGATCTAAATTTGGCAAACTATTTCTCCATTGTCGAGTGTTACAACATTTTGTCGGGGTTTCTTAATTAGATTTTGGTTTAGGGAAACATGATAGTATCAGTGACGTCGTAGAGAAAACGGAAACCTCCTGAGCCTGGCAGTGGCTCCTGGAATCACCATGGCAATCTTGGTCTGGTTGGGAAGGAGCCGAGGGTGTCCACATAAGCAGCCCCTTCATCCTTGGGAAGTTGTGGGCACCGGCAGGTGGAGGGGCCGGATGAAGCATGTGGTTCTGCCCGCTCTGGCCTGGTCCCCTGGGAACCACCCACTGTGGGCAGGTCACGGTTACCCACCGTGTTCATCTAGAAGGCCTTTAACCTGTTCACACAGCTGCCTGATTTGTTCTACAAATGGCTCAATGGCCCAATGACTCAAATATCTGGGTACATAAGGGTTGATACTGCTTCAGAATGGCTTTAGAGACACCCCGTGCATCTTGGAGCCCATGGGACTGGTTAGATGTAGCCACCGGCCTCAGAGCAGTGACACACACACATGCACAATTCACAAGGCAGCTCCAGTGCCAAAATGGTGAACCTGTCGTGGGTGAACGTGCTCTGAGTTACAAGGAAAGGTGGCTGCTGTTGACACTGGCTGAGGCAGCGTGAGATGCCCCCTGGGTCTCAGGGTGTCAGAGACCAGATCTCAAGTTTGCTCAGCCCATGGTTGGACTCTTCCTTCCCTGGAACTTCCCAGCTGTTTGACAGAAGGAATCAAAGCCGAGACTTTTGGAGTTTGGCCCCTGGCAGGGATGAGTTTGAAACTTGTTGAGCCTCATCAGGTAAACCCAGATTTCCAGGTTGAAAAGAGGCTTATGTTTTCCAGCTATCAACAAATCCCTCACTTCTCTGGTGGATGCAAATGCCTCCCAGCCATTCATGAAGGGGCGCACATAGTAGGACTCATGTTTCCAAGAGCCCTAGATAAGCTCATGCACGTTCATAGAGCATGTCCCCTGAGCTGGCTGCCATGGGCTACGTTGGGATGTGGCCAGGAGACGAGATCCAGGGGACTTCTTTCCAGGAAGCCTTCAACGACATCCCCGTGCTTGGTTCCCCCCACTCTGTCCCCGTAGCCTCTATGCTCTGATTATACTTGGGCTGTTCCCCTGTAGACTGTAAGCTTAAGTCAGGGTCTGAGTCTCACCCCTTTATCCCCGACATAAAGTCCAACACAGAATGAGCGCACAATTATGTTGTTGATAAACGTGTGACTCTGTGGATGGATGGGTAGAGTCTGGCTTCTCAACCAGTTGTCATTCGGGTTCTGAGCACCCAGTGCTGGCCCAAGGGCCCTGGAAGAAGGCAGGCCCCAAGAGAGGTTGGTCAATGGGAGCAGGGCTCCGTTCATAGAAACTGGGCCCTGGGTTCCACAGGGCTGGGCTCAATATTGTGGAGACTTTGGCCAGACCTGTTCTGGGTCCAAGGTTGTGAATCTCCATAGATGCAGGGTGGGGCCCTGTCAGAGGACTGTGGCATGCTCAGGGGATGGGGCTACAGCTCCTTACACAGGCCTTGAGACTGCTGATGGGGCTTCTGCCCCCACTGTGGGGGGTGAATGGGAGCCGGGGCCTCATAGGGACACACAAAACTATGTGGAGAGAGCCCTGGCTCTGTTGCTGTGTGATCTTGGGCAAGTTACACACCCTCTCTGAGCCTCAGTCTCTTCATCTGGTTGTGCCTGCATGGTTATTTGTGATGCTTGTGTGAAAGTGGCAATAAAGATGCCCAAACACATGTATCTCCAATGTCTAGAGACGGGGCATGGTCAGGCCCTCTGCCTCCTGTCTCCTGGGGGTCTGCAGGGGGTGCCCCATCTCCTTTCTCTTGCAGACACCATCTTTCCCCACTCCTGGACACTTCCTCCTCTCACTTTCTCTTGGGCAGGGATCAGGCCCGTGGAGCCATCCACAGGCCCTCGCAGCACCTTCTCTGTGCCATCCATGGGCCTCTATTCTGCCCTTAATATCAGCTTTCCCTCAGGGACCCGTGTTAGTCTTCAGATCTGTGTGCTGCCATGGCGGTGGGGGCCCCACGGTGCCTTCCTGCAAAGGGGCCCTCTCCTTTCTCCCGGGCAGGGTTCAAGGGCGAGAAGGACCACTGGCGGAGCCGGCGCACCATCTGTGTGAAGACCCACGAGAGTGGTAGGAGGGAGATCGAGATGTTCGACTCGGCCATCCTGCTGATCCGGAACCCGTACAGGTCCCTGGTGGCCGAATTCAACAGGAAATGCGCCGGGCACCTGGGCTACGCGGCTGATCGCAACTGGAAGAGCAAAGGTGAACAGAAGGGCCGGTGGGGGGTCCTGTCAGTGCGGGCAGGGTGCCCATCAGGATGCAGGGTCCTTGTGGGGACTGGATGCTCCTCTGCCTGGGTTTGCACTCACCTCTTCCTCTTTCCCCCCGTGTCCGCCAGGTCACACGTGCCATGGTATTTTACATGGGATCCCAGGGTGGGGGGGATCTACACCCCTTTTCTGTTCCTGCTTATACCCGGGAGCTCACCCGGAGCTATGGGAAGACCCCAAGCCCTGAGTTTGCACTCCTCTGCCTCCATGACCAGGCTCCTCCTTTATAAAATGAGGTAAACACCTACCCCTCCTGGGGAGTCGGGGATCAATGAGATCACGGATGTGCCCAGTTGATGGTCAGCGCTCAGCGTGTCAGTCCCCTCCTGAGCAGCTGCTCATGGACACTTCACTGTGTCCTGGAGGGGAACCGCCTTCAGCCCCACTTTCCGGAGGAGACCAGGACGTGGCTGTGTGGCTGGTCCAGGCAGCCTGGGTGGACGGTGGCAGAGCTAGCACTGAAACCCGATGTGTTAGTCAGCTTGCGCTGCCATGACAGAATACCGTAAACGTGCAGAATGTGTCCCTCACGGTTCTGGAGGCTGGGGAGTCCAGGACCCAGGTGCCGGCCTATTTGGCTCCCAGTGAGGACTATTCCTGGCTGCGGAAGGCCACGTCCTCACCGTGTCCTCGCGGGCCTTCCCCGTGGATGTGTGTGCAGAGAGCAGAAGTGAGCTGTCTAGAGGGGCAGTGGTCCCATTAGGAAGCCCCCACCCTGAGGCCTTATCCAGCCCTGATTACCTCGCCAACCCCATCTCCAGATACCGTCACGGTTTCTTCAACATATGGATTTGGGTGGGGGACACATTCAGTCCATAACGCCTGAATTTTCTGATTCTGGGTCAAATTGGCTTGTTCCCCACTGCAACTTTATTCACGGAGTCAGTCAGCCAACACACACTTAGTGAAGTCCTACTGTGTGCCAGCCCCTGAGCAAGGCACCAGGGGCCCGGGCTAAGGGGTCACAGCCTCTGCCTTCAAGGCATGCACTCTGGGCAATGAATTAAAGAGAGAAATTCAGGGTACTGAGTGATATAAAATTGTCAGTCAGGAGTAAAGCTGTGCCCAGTAGGGTGGGTGGCTTGCTGAGACGTGGGGCCCTAGGCCAGGCAGCCTTGTGCTTCTGTCGCTGCATGAGTCTGGGTTGGCTGAGGCTAACTGGTGTTCTCCCCTGTCCCCATCAACCCCCACTAGATCAGCGCCCCCCAGTCAGCCCTGTCCCCCTGCTGACTCCCCTTTAGGTTGCGGACAGGCTGGACTCTGATCCCCCCTCAGCTCCTTACGGATGAGCCACGTACCTTGGCTTCTGAGCCTCAATTTTCTCATCTTAAAAACCTAGGTGGTCCCCATCTCATAGGGCGGTTGTGAGGATGAGAGAAAGTGAACACTCCCACAGCCTTTGAAGTGTCTTGACAGCCCAATTATGGAAGCTAGTTTTGTTGGGGTGATTCTTGACACTTGCACCCTACCCCCGGCCAGAAAAAAAACCTAATTTCTTAATTTTCTGGAAAAGAAGTCTTATGGAGTAGATCACCTGTAGAAGTTGGCAGCTGCCCCCGTCTGCGGCTTCATATTATGTCCTACTGCCCAGCAGTGTCGCAGGTTCAAACTGGCAGTCACAGCCGCCAGAAACAATAAGCATCAATCAGGCACCGCATCCACTTAGCTTCCTGGGAGGACCCAGGACAGGAAATCGGGGCTGTGCGACATCTTCCTCTCACTGGGAGGCCAGCAGCTCCCGCACACGTCCTGCTCGGCCCCCGTCACCCACACTGGACGTGCATAGTTGTCAGAAACAAGATCAAAGTGAACGAGGGTCATCGCGACAGAGATGCCCTGCCTCAGTTTCCCTCCCTTCTGTAACACGGCTGTGTCACTCAGCATGACCCAGCGCCAGCTCCCCCCACCAGGTACAGTCCCGAAGGTCACGGAATTCCTGGCACACGGGAGAGAAGCCGTTGTTGGGACTCTCAGTCCACATTTGTCTGAACTTGGTGTGTTTCCAAGGAAACTGCTGGGGGAAGGCCGCCTCAAGGTCACGTCTCCCTGGCTGGCTTGGGACTCTCAGAGCCCAGCTTGACGTTAACCCTTACTCATATAGGTCACCAAGAGGGTCTTCCTCTGCGGGGAATTTGGGCAGATTGGCCCTGGGTGGTGGGCAATGGAAAATGCTGGCCGCTTCCCTATCCTGAGCATCCGGAGGGCCCGCAGCCCTGCCAGGGCCGGGTCCTGATGTGGCGCCCCTTCTGTCCCCACCCCAGAGTGGCCAGACTTCGTCAACAGCTACGCGTCGTGGTGGTCCTCGCACGTCCTGGACTGGCTCAGGTACGGCAAGCGGCTGCTGGTCGTGCACTACGAGGAGCTGCGGCACAGCCTGGTGCCCACGCTGCGCAAGATGGTGGGCTTCCTCAATGTGTCCGTGAGCGAGGAGCGGCTGCTCTGCGTGGAGAACAACAAGGAGGGCAGCTTCCGGCGGCACGGCCGGCGCCCTCATGACCCCGAGCCCTTCACCCCGGAGATGAAGGACTTGATCAATGGCTACATCCGGACAGTGGACAAGGCCCTGCGTGACCACAACTGGGCTGGGCTGCCCAGGGAGTACGTGCCCAGATGATAGGCCCCGGCCGCTCTGCCCGCCCCGCTGAGAGCCGGCCACCCCCACGGGCTGCGCACGCGCTCGCTGGGACACACGGCTGCTTGTGCCACCCGCAGGGAGGCCTGCCCGGGTTCTGCGTCCCTCATGCGCAGGGAGACCCGGACACAAGCCTTTAGGCCACCCAGGCAGACACGATGTTGTGGGACAGACACCCACAAGCTCTCACAGACACGCTTAGACCGCCACTCCATGCTCACAGTGCCTGTTTTGATGCGCCCAAGCTGCCACGCAGGGTGCACCAGCCAATCCCAGACTTGGAGACACAGGCACGCAGATGCCAGGTTCTGCATTGCCGGAGGCTGTCTGTCTGTTTCACACACATACGCACACATGTGCACCTCGGGCTCCTGTTTCCTGGAGTTTCCTGTTTCCAGCCCCAGGCTCGGACTCACCTGTCAGGGGCCTTGGTGCAGGATGCCGGGCAGGGGGCCACTTGTGCTGTGAGCCGCAGACCTCAGCAGGGCAGTGGGCGCAGACTGTGGCTGCTGGGCCGTGCAGCTCTGACCGCCTGCCTGCTGTCCCATAAATAGGGGCCGTGTGATGACCAGGCACCACAGCTCTGCGGCTCCACCTCCCCCTTCTCTGCGGGTGGGCTGAGCGGAGCCCCCAATACACTCACCGACCTCAGGACCCCCTGCAAGTTCTGTGCACCCCCCGCCGCCCCTTCCAACATGAATCCTCCTTGGAGTGGGGCCTCCTTGCCTGGCTTTTTCCTCTATGGTCCCCAGAAAAGCTGGAAATTTGCGCCATGCCCCAGAAGCAGGGTGTGAGGGCAAGAGGACAGTGGGACAGGGAAGGGCTGGGCCTCCAGGGGAGCCCTGGACCTGATGCCAGCAGGAGGGACCTTGGGTGGGCCTGGGGAGACCCAGGAGGGATGGGTCTTGGGGACCATTGGGGATGGTTGCCCCACCATTTTGACAGTCCCCTGCTCTTTGTGGGTTGCCCCCTGGGGTCATGAGGAAGGGGCTCTGCATGGCCCATCCACATGCCTCCCCCCCACCGCCGGGGCGAGGCTGTGGCTGCAGCTTCTGCCTGACCTCCCTGGTGGCCGGTGGCTGAGCTCTCTCTGACCCTCTGTTATTCACCCTGCCGCTTCCTGTCCTGGGCCTCTTTGCCACACTCTCTGTCTGTTTCTGTGAGGCTGACATCTTCCCCACTTGTTCATCCATTTCCTCAACAAAAATGGAAGGGCGCTCACAGATGCTGATGCCAGCAGTGTGCTGGCCTTGGCCTTGGCCTTGGGGAGAAGATGGATAGGAAGGCCCCCTCCCCCACCCCCAGCTCACAGTTTGGGAGGGGAAGGAGGGGTTGTCACAAATGGGAGTGAGAAACGCAGTAGCAGAGGAGCGTGTGTGCTGTGGCTGCTCCCGGCGGGTCAGCCCCTATGCCTGCGGTCTTCAGGGAACGCATCACGGTGGCTTTGAACTGGTTTTGAGGCATCTGTAGGAATTATCCCAGCAGAGCAGAGGGGAAGGGTAATTGAGGCAGAGAGAACAGCATGTGCAAAGGCTCAGAGGCTTGGAAAACGCTGGTGTGCTTTGCAAAACAGGTGAATGGGGTGTGGGACGTGTGTGTCTCTCTGAGTCTATGCAGTGGTGGGGGGGGGAGTGGGTGAATGAGGTCAGAGGTGGGGACACAAAAAGGGACTGTCCTTAGAGCCACTCAGTGCTCAGCTGAGAGGGGCAGCGGTGCTGATGTTAATTACCCTCTCTGGTCACCCTTCATTACACATCTTGGGCTCTGGAAGGAGGCAGTGGAGACCAGGGGGCATAGGTCTGGAGGTGGAGGTGGACCCAGGAGTACAGCCCAGGGCGGTCAAGACACAGGGAGGGCCATGGAGAGCTCGGGTGCACCCTGACCCCTGTGAAGGGGAGGGAGGTGGGCCAGCCTGAACTTGGACAGCTCTGAGCCCTCTGCAGCCTCTCCAAGCCTAGGGTAACCTGGTTGGGCCCCCTGGTCTGACCTCCCCTCAGCCTGAGCCAAGCTGCATTGGGAGGAGAAGCCAGGGCGAGGAGTTTGGGAAAAGCGGGCATGGAAGGGCCCTGACCTCTGTTCCCTGGCCGGTGATGGGGAGGGCAGACAGGGCTGGAGGGCCTGGTGGAGCCGCCCTTCCTCAGAGGGAACCCTCCCCAGCCTTCGGCTTTGCCAATGAGAGTACTTGAGCTGTGTGCTCCTGGTGGCCTCCAGGTCCTTCCTGAGGTTCCCCCACACCCACTGCTGCTGAGGCTGTTTAGACCCATCCACAGCATCACTCGGCTCAGCCCAAAGCTGGAAACACCAGGGTCTTTGTAAACGTTTGTTGGCTCAGCGTGGCTCCGAGGTCAAGTCTGTGAAGGCTTCTGATGGGGCTGTTTCTCCCAAGTTGTGGGAGCAGTTGAGACCCTCCAGGAGTTCCACACTGGCATGGAAGGGGTCCCAGCTGGTACCTGCCTCCCAGAGCAAACCTAGTCTCAAAGGAGGCGGCAGACCAACTGGTGGAGCACAGGGACGCTGGCCGCCTCCTGAGACTCGCTCCTGGGCTGGCCTCACTCTCCCTGGCCACCTAGACATCTTCAGGGAGAAGACTCAGAAGCTGTGGAGGCTGTGAAGGACAGAGGTGTGGCCAGGGGACCCACTGGGAGGGACCACAGCTGGGGTTTGCTGGGGTTTGGCCTCCAGGGCCCCCCACCCAGGAGTCAGGAAAGCAACAGCGCCAGCTGGTTCCTCCTGGTGCTTGGGTGGGTCCATTCCCTGCTGCCAGGTATGAGAGACCTCCTCTCCTTCCAGGTGGAGTGCCATCTGCCCCGATGGCCTTGGAGTTTCCTGTGCACTGTAGCCGGGCATGCAGATGAGCAGAATGATGGGGTCAGGGTGCATCCCGGCCATGCTGAGTCAGTCCACACAGCAAGGCACCTGACACTAGGCAGGTGCTCCTGGCTGTTGGCTGAGCAAGGAGATGCAAGGCCCTGCCCGCTGCTGCTGGTTCTCAGCAGCCGTCCTCAGGCATGCCTCTGGGAGAGCAACTCGGAAGCGCAGGAAGGGGATCTGTCTGTCCTTTTGGGAAAGTCCGTTTGTCTCTTTCCAAGTTAGGTCTCATCGATAGCTCTCAGCTTCTCAGTAGAGAGGCTGCTGTCCAACCAGCCAAGGAGTAAACATGGATCCGTATTTAGGGGAGAAGTGTGGCAAATGCTTTAGGAACCAATCAGAAGAGAACAGTGAAACCCTGCCTGCAGATTCCAACGTTAATAGCAAGGCTGTGGAGTTCCACAAACCTGTGTTAAAACATGTAATTTTCATGGATTTCATCTCCCGTTGTAGATCAATTTGGAAAAACCAAAATATATAATTTTAAAAAACTGTAAAACACATTCTGATAATCCCAGTGATGTGTAAATGAGAGAGAAGAATAGACAGGCTTCCAGACCCTGGGAAGAAAGCTGCTTAATTATGTGAGCATCTTATACTGAAGTCTCTTGCCGCTAAAATTAGATTGTGAGTGCATGAATATGCGATAATGTTTGCACACCAGAATGCATTTTTTTTTTTCCGTAAAAGTAGCGGGAGCTACTTGGTTCTTAGGGGGCCCCAAGAGAGAAGGTGGAAGTACTGGGGTTGATCTTTGTGGCTGCAAGAACTCTTGGGCATAGGCTCATTTTATTCGACTGGAAACTCGTTGGAGGTGGTTGAAATGGAATGCCTCCGAGGTGGTTCGTTCAGGTTTAGGGAGAAATTGATCGGTCTGAACCCACATTGATCACCACTCAGTTTGGGCGAATTGGCCTGAACAAGGTTGAAGTAGAAGAGAGAGTGGATATGATATAGGGTCTGCAGATGGAAGGGCTGGATTGTGGTCCCAGCTCTGCTCTGCTGTGGTCTTGGACAAGGCCTTTCCCTCTCTGGTCTCCATTTCCCATCTATAGATAAGGGATGTGATGGATGTTGTTGGTTGCATTCCCAATGTTCATCCCCCACTTCCTTTCCCGCAGCTCCTGATTTCTGTTTGGGGATTTTATGATCTGGCTGAACTGACTCAGTCGTCACTTCAAGGGGTAAAGCATGACCTGGGCTAAGCCAACAGCACATTCCATCTCTCTGGCTACAGTGATTGGTTCAGACATGGTGGCTTCAGACATGGTCATGTGAGCCAAGGCAGTGCAGCCAGAGGGAATTTCAAGACTTTTTCCGGGAATGTTGGGTAGGGACTCTTTTTATCCCCCCTGCTGGATGTGAAAGCGGAGGTGGGTAATCCTAGGTCTTGATGGGGGCTGCCTTGGGACCATGGAGGGGAACCACTCTCAGCATGAAGCTACACTGCTGAAGGAAGAGTCAAGAGGCAGAAAGAAGCCAGGTCCTTGAAGACGTTGTTAAGTACAGGATCAAGCTTTGCCTGCGACTGGCCCTACCTCTGGATGGTTTTGTTACATGAGCCAATAAATTCCCTTTATTGTTTAAGTTGGGCTGAATTGGGTTTTTGTTACTTACAGCCCAGAGCCGTGTCCAAAGGGCTTGGATTGAAAGGCCCTGGAGCTCCGACATCCTCTGTCTCTGTGGCTGATGTAGGCAAAGACTGAGACTCAGACCAGTATGAGCTGGTAGGATTGGGAAGCTGTTTTCTAAAAGGAATGAGGCTGGGTATGAAATGCTTGATAGGAAGCTGTGCTCAGTCAGCCAGAACAAGCAGCATTTGTAAGTCAGTACACAATGAGGTCACCTATATATCCTTAGAAAATCGTTCCTCTGATTGCCCAGCTCAAGCCATCAGTTGTCTCATTTAACCCTTAACCATCACTTTGTTATTATCTCCACTTGACAGATGGGGAGACTGGGATACCAGCCTGTAATGACTGGAAAAGTGTGGCCCAGCTGTATTTGCCATAACTCCTTTCATGACAGATGTGATGTGGTGTTGGAAGGAATTCTGTGATAAGCTATTTGGATTAGGGGGGAGACCCCCCCCCAAGGGACATGTTTCAGTAACAACTGATGGGCAGTAAACTGCCTTGAAGAAGGGTGGGTATGGTTAACCATACAGCTTTGGTTTTGCTGAGTGAGACATGCAAGCTTGGGGCAGAGCACAATTGCTGCCATTGGAGGGGAGGTGGGATAATGCCACTGAGAGTTCCCTTCTTCTGTCCTTTCCTCTTGAACCCTACTGTGTGCTGGAAATATGAGGGACAAAGGGAGTTGTTTGTGGCCCCTATCTTCAGACTCCCCTTGGAGTGTCTGACTCTAATACATATGCCAGGATGGAGATCTAGACGGTATGTAGAGAAAGCCAAGGGTCCCAGGAAATCATGAGTGCTCCCTTTTGTCCCCAGTGCTCCCTTTTGTAACTGAAGATAGATTTGGGCCCCTCCTGAGAACTTCTACCATGAAAAACCATTGCAGAAATCTGGGTCCCTGCCAAGAGAAATATGAGCAGATCCACCCTAAATGACAAGCATAATTGTTTATATAAAATGAGGAATCTTGATATCAAACAAAAATAGAAACAATTCCAGCTGATGCTGTGAGTGTAAGAATGAGTGGACTGAATTAACTTTCCAAGGTGACTTCAGTACCTAAGACATTTTTTCCAGGTTCAGACATCAGCAGTGACAGATCTGTGGCTTGATGGTGTGGCCAATGATGCTCGATGACAGAAAACAGTGTTCTTACAGTCACGAAGTTCCACAGACGTCATCCCACATGTGCCTCAGTGACGGAGACAGTCTTATTTCCATTTGGGCGGAAGAGAAATTTAGTTTCTGAGATTGAGCTGCCCAAAGTTGAAACCCTTTATTTTACAGATGAGAAAAATGAGGCTCAGAACGGGGAAGGGTTTCCTACAAGGTGGTGCTCTGAGAATGAGTGTGGAGCCAGGGCTGGAATGTGGGCTCTTTCCATGAAAGCACCTGATTGCCCCCGTACTGCATCCCTATGGCTCTTCCAGAAGTGGCTGTAGGTGAGGCGGGTATGCACATTCAGCTCCTATGAAAGCGACCCCATTAATTTCACCGCTAATTCTTTGCCAAAATAATTTTTGGTGAGTACCTGAGTTCAATTTTAAGGGCCATTTATCGAGTATTACCAGAACTTGAAAACCTGCTCAGGCCTTTGCAAAGCAGTGAGGTTGGAGAGAGGGACCACAACTTGCATAAGATAGGAGCCCAGAGTTTTCATCTTAAGTCACAAACATCCCAAGCAGCAGAAAGGCCCTGCTCCTCCAAGACATTAATAGATAAGCATCTTTGGTGCCAGAGTCCAGCAGTGTGTATGTTTATGAGTATGCATGTGTGCAGGTGTGAGCTCCAGCTGCTGACAGACAACTGCCCCTTTGAATCACATGCCAGCCTTCCTGACCACTACAAGTGACCAGAGCCTGGCCACCTGGAATTAGGCATCAACCTACTTGGATAACTGTCTTCCCCCACAGTCAGAGCTACCGCATCCAGATGACACAGTATCCACTCCCGCTTTGGAAGGCGGGGCACACACTTAGTACGCTTCTGGGAGGAAGCCTGGGAGAGCAGAGCAATGGTACTAGGCATAGACACTTCCCTCCGGACCCAGCCTTCAGCCACCTAAATTGTACCACGGGACTTGCCAAAGGTTGAGATTACACCTCACCAGATTCACCTGGATTAGTTTTCTATCGCTGCATAACAAATTACCACAACCTGAGCAGCTTAAACCAACACACAAATGTCATTCCGCAGCTTGTGTAGGTCAGGAGTCTGGGCGTGGCTCAGCTGGGTCCTCCGCTTCAAGATCTCACTGGGTGGCCATCAAGCTGTTAGCCAGACCGTATTCTCATCTGGAGGTTCAACCGGGAAAGTGTCCACATCCAGGCTCACTCAGATTTTTGGCAGAATTGAGTTGCTTGTGGTTATAGGGCTGAGGGCCTCAGTCTCTCTGACCCACCCGTAATTCTTGACTTGTGGGCCTCTCATAGGAAGTTCCCAACATGGCTGTTGGCTTCTTCAAGGTTGGCTGGAGAGTGAGACAGAGTGTTACACACATTACATAATCACAGAATGCCATCCCTTCTCCTTTGCCATTTTCTACTGGATAGAAGCAAGTCATGGGCTCCACCCACTCTCAAGGGTAGGGCATGAAAGGCAGGAGGTGGGCATCATTGGGGACCACCTTTGGGCCTGTCCATCACAACATCAATATGGAAAAACATCCATCCAGAAATCAGTACATTCTTGATGGTCTCTAGAGCAGTGCTGACCCCTGGATTGCATTAAATGCAGTGGATGTTTTGAAGAGTCATCCAGGAGAACCAGGTTGTATCCATCTCATAATGAGTTCAGGGCTGATGTCCCCAGTCCACTGCACTGACATTAACAGAATCATTAGGAACATCCCCAATTCATATTGTCCATCTCTATACTCTTTTTTTAATTTGTCTTGCTCAGTACATAGTGGGCCTTTCAGCATCTGGACTTCTTTCTTTAATTCTTGGACATTAACTATTTTTGATTTGAATGTTGCCACCTCTTTCCTTCTCCAACCCCTCATTCAGGCATTCTTTTACACTGACACGGGAACTTAAGAATCCAGTTTTTACACCTCAGCTCTTTTTCCATACTATCCGTCTCTCAGACCCGTTGTCCTGGGTTCTGGGAGAATTCTTCGCATTGATAGTCAAAAATTATCATTTGCTCTTCACTGTGTACATTCTTCTCTTCAACCCACCTGTTGATTTCTATAATTATGGTTTGTATTCCTGAGACAGCTAATTGATTTTTTATAGCAATCTGAACTTGTTTCACAGAAGATACCCCTTCACATCTCTCTGGGGATATTAAATGTACATATGCAGACATTCTCTACTGACTGCTCTGTTTCCTTGAGAGCGACTTTTTTCGTTTGTCAGTTTTGCCGTCTGTTTCATGGTTTTGGGTTTCATCAAAATTTTCGCAATGTGTGTTTATAAAAGGAGAGGAGAATTTTGCAAGGCTGAGCTGTCCTGGCTGTCCCAGGTTTGGCACCTCAGCTAACGACCCTATTAATTACCCCTCGGCTACCCTCTACTCCCAAATTCCCCCAACTCTCAGTGGGCAGCAGCCGCCTTTCTGAGGCTCAACTCCCAGCCACATCCTGGGCACTGACTTCCTTCTTATCTTCCTATCTGTTTTCTGTCTTTCAGAATTTGTCCAGTTTTTGGTCCACTCTGGTTCTTTTCTTGTTTTGGGGCATAACGATGTTGTCATCTACATTTGGCTTCAGGAAGGAAAAAGTGGAGCAAATGCTCGCTTAGTCTACCAAGATCATGAAAACCAGATCTTTGATGTTCTCAGGTTGCCTAAGAGCATCACAAAAAATGCTGGCCTGGAGCGAAAAGACCTGGGTTCTATTCTAGAAGCATAGTTTACTCGCTATGTGACTGGGCAAGTGTGTCTTCCCCTCTCTGAATCTCAATTTCTTCATTTAAAAAAAATGAAAAGTTTGACATAAGAGTTGTCTAAGTCCTCATCCAACTTGGACATTCTAAAATTCTGCTTATCTCCTGCCCATATTCTGGCGGAAAGGAGCCATCTCTGTACCTGCTTGAAATACAGGCCCTCGCCCGTGATACCATAGCAGACGGAACTTCACTAGAGAAGCCAATCTTTGTCAGGTCTCCCCCCTAAAATGGATAGTGCCCTGGGAAAAAGAAAATATCCTTAATGTCATTTTTGTTTATTCCTTTCATTCTTTATTTTTTTTAATTTGATAAACAAGTCACCAACATTTTTCATTCACTTGAAAAGCTCTATTTACATATTCCCTTCACTAAATTTCAAGGCAGCAGAGGCAGGGCCAGTGTTGTATTTTCTATTTATCTCTGTAACTTCAGTCCCCAGCACAGGCCCTGGGCTGCAGGAGACACAGGAAGGATTAGTGGAAGGGAAGGAGGGATGCATAAAAATCTGAATCACCTAGCTTTTAATGTTTTCCTGGAAAATGACATCTTCCTCAAGAATAATACCTTGCTTTTTCTATTTGTGAGCTGAGAGGATGTTGCTGAAGATACTTGGTTGAATTTTTTTCATCAATTCTTTATTCAGAAGCTTTGGGGCTGAGTTGAGCTATAACCATTCAGTGCTACAGGTTAAAACAGGCAAAGAAATATGGGGGCCAGCTCCGTGGCCGAGTGGTTGGGTTTGCGCACTCCGCTGCGGTGGCCCAGGGTTCGGATCCTGGGCGCGGACATGGCACCGCTCGTCAGGCTACGTTGAGGCGGCGTCCCACATCCCACAACTAGAAGGACCTGCAACTAAGATATACAACTGTGTACGGGGCGGGGGGGGGGGGGGGGGGCGGTTTGGGGAGATAAAGCAGAAGAAAAGAAAAAAGAAATATGGCAGCCACCAAATTCCACTGGAGAGTTGTTTTGGACTACTATACGAGTTCTCGGTCAGCCATCTGTTCCTGACTCTTGGAGAAGAACAGGAGACTAATTGGCAGGATTTTCAACAACCTGTTCATGGATCTTCAGGAAGGCAGTGTAACGGCGTGAGCCCCAGCTTTGCTCCCCGCGGGAGCCTCCACTGCAGGTGGGCACCATTTTTATTTGCTTGGGGCAGGTGGGCTTCTCCACCTCCTTCAGTTCTGCAGCTCATTTTCTAAAGCTAATCATTAAATCTCTAGCAAAATGTTTTTTCTTCTAAATTTAAAACCCCCTCTCTATTTTAGGTCCCAAGGTAGAGCACAGAGACCGCCCCCTCCTCTTTTCCTCCTGAGAGCAATTGCGGAGGGAAAGTGTGTTTGGATAAGTGGCAAGGAGAGGGAAGGATGGAGGACATCCTACCCTGGACCCCCTCCCATGCCCTGGCCCAGGCAGGAAATGATGAAGATTTCTCTTGCAGCCCCACTTCTCAGGTTAGGTGAAGGCAGAGCCTTTCTCTCCCTGGGATGGGGCAAGGGTGAGAGATGCAGACACAGAGCGAGAAGAGTCTGCGTCCTAGGAGGCCTGGAGCCTTCCACTCCAGCAGTATTGTAGAGTCTGAAGCACACTGTATTAGTTATCTATTATTGTTTAACAAATCACCCCAAAATTTAGACATAACTTAAAACAAACGTTTGTTAACTCAGAGCTTCTGTGGGTCAGGAACCCAGGCACAGCCGAACTGCATCCTCCGACCCAACAACTCTCATGAGGCTGCAGCCATGAAGCTGGCTGGGCTGCGGTCACATCTGAAGGTTCGATTGGGAGAAGAATCACTTCCAAGCTCCCTCGCATCGTTGTTGGCAGGATTCGGTTCCTTAGGGGCTGTTGGACTGAGGACCTCAGTTTCTTGCTGGCTGCCAGCCAGAGGCCACCCTCAGTTCCTTGCCACGTGAGCCTCTTCATAAAGCATCTCACAGCATGACCGCTTGCTTCCTCAGAGTGAGAAAGTGAGAAGAGCTAAAGAGTGTGAGCAAGAGAGAAGTCACAGTTTTGGTAACCTAATCTTGGAAGTGACATCCCGTCACTTTACTGTATTGTATTTGTTGGGAGCAAGTCACTAGGTCCAGCCCACATCCGGGAAGGGGATTGTACGGGGGCTTGAATGACAGAAGGTGGGATCATTGGGAGCCATTTTTAGCCGCCTACCACCCTCCTGTTGAGGACCTCCTCCGGCTGAGTCAGGCCCCTCACGGTCCACACTGCTGCAGCTTCCGCTTGACCTCTCCCCTTCGTGGAGCCGCATCACAGCCTTCAGCATCCTCAGCCATGTTTCTCCAGACCTGTAGGCTGGCTGGGCTCCTGCCTACCTCATTGTTGAAGGTGATGGCTCATTTCCTGCAGTCTCCTCCCTTACAATGGCTGCCATCACTTCTTTCTACCAAAGAGAACTGTCCTGGTCCCACATTCAGCCTGGCAGGGAACCAACAAGGCAGGGAAACTCTGGCCAGACGTCTTAGTGGTATGGCGCACTCCATGGGCCCACCCGTAAAACCTGCTCTCTGCCTAATCCCTTATTCCCTGTTACGCCCAAGCTTCCCCGTTCCACAGCCACATTATCCTCCATCAGATAATTAAGGGCTTGGCTTTCCATGAGAGACCTTAAATGTCACCTTTCTGCCACCCAATACGTCTTTGAATGACACGGACTCTAATGAGATGTTCAAATATAGAAAACTGAATGACTCCTTGCTTTTGTCGTGACATTTATTCAGCCGGAGTGATCTGACTACACCACTACATTACTTATAATTTCCACCTGACCTTGGGTGGTGGAGTGTAATCTTTAAGGAAACTATCCATTTAATCTCCCTTGCCTTATTAGCATTTAATTACTATGACAAATTTCCAGATGTACAAAGGATGTTAGGATTATAATTCAATTTTCCCCTCAAATAGCTCAGCAGCCAAGGGCAGCGGGATCATCTCTGACACAGTCGAGTTCCGATTGAGGAAGTGGCCTGGGCCTGGCTCAGTCTTCTGCCCTTAGAGCACCAAGCACAGCTTATCCCAACCATAGCTCCCCAGAAGCACATCTGCTGCAGAGGAACAACAGTGGGAAATAATCCAGAGACGCCCTCATCTATTCTCACTCCTTTAAAAAGCCACATTCTGCTCTGTGAATTACGCTGCCATTTTCCCACAGAAATGCTCCGTTTTGATACCTCTTGCCTATCCTACTCCCACAAATCACTGAGCAAGTCTTACCTAGGGTCGTGAGTCCTTGGATGTGGAGAATGAGACAACTCTGAGGAGTGGAAAGATCACGAGACCTGGGATCCGGGGCACTTGAGCTCTAGAAGTGTCTCTGCCACTAACTGTCTGTGCATCTGTGGAAGACTTGGGCCCCTTCTCTATCACTCAAGCATGGCGGTGGAGCTGACATCTGGGTTGGACCTGACGACCTTGTCTCCCTCACCAAAGTTCTTTGGGACACCAGCTGGGCTGGGGCAATTGGATCCTCTCTTTCAGTCACTGAGACATCAGCCTGGCTGCTAGGTGTGTGAAATGAAGACACATGCACATGGGGTCCGTGGAGCACAGATGCCATCATGCAGAAGGTCTCTGCAGAGACCACTGAGTGACATCACCATGCTGAGAGAAGGAGAACCTGGAAGTAGACATCCCAGAGGAAGACTGAGATGGTATCTGTGAATATTAATGGTAGGATGGCAACCAAAACCCAAAACAAAAATTGTGCGCCTGATCAAATCGATACTTTCACTTGTCTGGGGGATTTTCTGGTCCCTTTTCATGGGCAATTTACTTTTCCCTATGTGAACTCGTGTAATACATAGATTTTTACTTTCTTCTTTTTAATTTGGCATTATATCATAAATATTTTCCCATTTTGCTATAGTCATTTTTCTATCTTATTTTCCCCCAGTTCCTCCCCTTTTCCCACTTCCTGTCCAGCCCCCTGCTACAGTACCAACAGTGACCGCCTGGTACTATCCATTCACACCCTTCCTAGACTCCGATAAATATAGAAAAGTGCGTGTGTGTCCATAGCTATAATCTCTATCTGTGAATCCAGCGCATTATTTAGTGGGAAATAAAACAACAGAATAAATAGATCTATATAGATACAAGAAATTTGGGAACCATTTGTTTTTGCAAGAAGGTGGTCATACATTGCACCGACTGTTCTGTCTTTTTATTTTCCACTAAATAACGCACTATATTCATTCCCTTAGAGACATAGCATAATATAGTAGGGGTCTCAAAAACGGGGTGCATACACCCCACTGGCACAAGGAAAAAGTATTCAAAATTTTATATCTGTTTATTTTTGTCTCATCCCTTTAAAATTTCTATTTTGTGTTTGTTTATTCTGCACTTAAGATATTCATATATGCAAATAAATATCCGTATTTTGGAGGTGCATGCTGTCATCA